ACCAGGACTGAGAGCGGGATTGAGATCGGGAATAGGACCAGGACTGAGACCGGGACAGAGACCAGGACGGAGACCGGGACGGAGACCGGGGCCGAGACCGGGGCCGAGACCGGGGCCGAGACCGGGGCCGAGACCGGGGCCGAGACCGGGGCCGAGACCGGGGCCGAGACTAGGACTGAGACTAGGACTGAGACTAGGACTGAGATTGGGACCAGACCAGGACTGAAAACAGTTTAGTCCAAGTTCAGTCCTTCAGTCCTGGTTCAGTCCGACATCCCAGTTTAAGTCACAGAAACTGGAAACGGCCATTATCCATTTTTTTCCATTATTCATTTAAACACAAAATCGAAAACTGAAAAAAATTAATAATTTTTCTTCTTTTCTTATTATTTTTCTCCAAAACCCAAATGAAAAAACTAATAATGAAGAAAAATTTTGTTTTTTCATTTTCTTATTTTTGGTTTTGTTTTGAAAAACAAATGGACGAATGATGCACAGATTTTTATGGTTTAAAGGTGCACTATGTAACTTTTTGGTTGGGGGTCCATCAGTATGACATTAAACAGCTCTACCTTATATTTATTCAACTACAGGTGGTTTTGTAGCTCAAAAATACCTAGAAAAACACACATTCTGACTACGAGTGGGTTGCTTCTTCACAGATCTGACCTGTAACTTGGCTTGGTTTGGTCTCCATGAAGATGCAAAAGGTTTACTGTGAAATATTCCAGACAAAGCTACCCAAAACACTTTTAAATCTCTTGGGTCATTGTATTTGTTGCGTAAATTAGTTTCAGTATTATAAATGATCATATATATTTTCTTCAGCAACATATCACATTTCAAAATTTGCCATACTGTGCTGTACTGTAGATAAAAACACCATATTTGTTTACTAGACACTCAATTATTTATGCGTCTGTAGCATCTGGACCCTGTGATGTCTTTTCTTCAAATCAACACCAGTTTTCACCAGTCCACATGGAAAACACATTTGCCACGTTTCATTTATTTACAGTGTCGTGTACACAACCGGATACTCCTGACAACCTGCTGGAGTTTGAACTAATTACACAGTTTAAGCCCCCTCCTCCTCCTCCTCCTCTTCCTCTGCTTCCTTTTCCTCGTCTTCAGAGCGGACCTGCCATGTGAAAACTGCGGAGTGGTGGAACGTAATAAAGTCAAAGTGCACAGTTAAGTATAAATATTAAGTATCTGTACTTTAATTAATTACATTTTAAAGTGGATGTTTTACTTTTACTTCACTACGTTTGAAAGCAAGTATCTGTACTTTCTACTGCACTACATGTTTTAACAGGACTGAAAAGTAAAAGTTTTTTATTATAGTTGGAGACCTGCTGAAAAGGCAGAGGGTTAATTTTGAACAGTCATAATTCGGGGAAAAAAATAAAACTAAAAAAAACAGCTACAAACAAAAATATTAATTCAAATTCAACACAAATCTGTATCACAATCACAACAACTGAAAATACTTTTTACTCTTACATTTTTTAACGAGCACTTTAATACCTTTACTTGTGTATTTTTTATGTGATATTTATACTTTTACTTGAGTACTTTTTGCTCCAGTGGGTCCACCACCTGCTAGTCAGGCTGGCGTCACCTAGTGCCTCCGCTCAATTTCATTTCTCTCCAGCAACTAGGTCAGCAATCAGAAAACACTAGACCAGGCATGTCCAAACTATGGTCCGTGGTCCAAATGTGGCCCTCAGACAAATTTTTCTTGGCCCTCAGGCTTCTAGGTGAATTGGCCCAAAAGCCCTTGCATCAATTAAAAATTAACTTTTTACGGCAAGTTTTTTGAAAAATCTACCTTGATAAAGCTAATATTTAATATTTAGTGTGTGGTTTTAAGGATCTTAGAATGAGCCATCAGTCTTTGTTTATGGTAACGTGTTATAACATGCACATATTTCAATTATTCACTGTATTTAGCATCAGTCTACGGCCTCGATCAGCCCTCTGCTTCGTTTGTGTTTAGATATGTGGCCCTTGATGAAAAAAGTCTGTACACCCCTGCACTAGATGGTTTGCAAGAACCCCGGAAGTTGTAGACCGCGCACCGGCCAATCAACCCGAGTTGTGATAGCAGACTGTATACGCTTCACATTTTTTATTGCACCTTTAATTCGCGAGTTCATCTCACAGAAACGACAATGATTGTTGACATGTTCACACTGCTTTGTTTGCTGTTGTGAAGGCAATTACTTGGACACCACTGAGTGTTCTGGCGCGTTACATACGTCACGACCAAATAACAGTGATTGGTTAAATAAAAAAGTACCCGCCTACCGTCGAGTGAATGAATCCTAATTCCACAAAGTGAAACCGCCTGATGAATCAGCCTAAACACCTGCTTGTCTCCATGGAAATGTCATTGCTTTGTCTAGAATGTTCCTCAGTATAGATTAAACTTGTCAATCGCGAAGGTTACGCCAGTACGCTACATTACAATTCAGATCTGTGGAGAGTCGCCCCTGTTCATAGAAGAAATTATTGTATTTTTGAGCAATAAAAACACCTTCGATGAATAAATGCTAGATGGAAATGTTTAATGTCATACCACGGAACATTCCAGGCTCAGCAATAACATCTCCAGCACCAGAAAAGCTACACAGTGCACCTTTAAGTCACAAAATTGAACACTTCTTCCAGAACCGAAACTGCGGCACAATGAAAACACCCTATTTCCCAGCACATTCAGACGGGTCCAGTGCAAACAGCCTGGAGGACTGGGTGAACACTGGCGCTTCTGTGTGCAGCCTGTTTATGTGCATACAAAAATATAGCCCGTATGATTTAAAACCCGCTGGAGAGATTTAATGTTATTCAGCCCGCCTGTATTTACTTAGGAAATATGCACCAGTCCACTCTGTGAATGAAGTGACCAGACTGCTCCATGTCGTGAGATGAAAGCCAGCGCTGGAGCAGGAGGGGGAGAGAGAGACAGCTGCTAGAGCCATTGGAGCAGCCGACACACAGCAGCAGACAAATGCCCATTTTATTTTCAGGTCCTAACATAACGCTAATGTCGGCACTTTCCAGGAGACGGCCAGTTTAATAACAGAACATGTTTTTACACGGTGAAGCCTCGGGTCAATTAGCCGGACCACAGTATGGCATGGTATGTGGATTTTTTTTTTTTTTTTTTTTTTAGAAGGAGCAGAGGAATTTTAGATTTTCATATGGGGACGGATTTTGGTTTTTGTGCGTATCACCTTTCACCACTGTCCCGTGTGTGGACATATTTTGATGGATATTTGGTGATACTCTGTAGTAGACGACTAAAGTTGAAAGTTCTGACAAGTTTTGACCCTGTAATTTCAACATATGATAAAATAAAGATTCCATAAATAGAATAAACATACATTATTCTACATTATTGATTATGTGTAGTCCTTGAATGGGATCCAGATGACACACTTCTTCAATACTTTTCAAAGATGTGAGTCTGGTCACCGGTGACTGACAAGTGGATTAGCCAGGGACTAACCAGGGACACTCATGGTCCATCATATCGGGGAAACAGGGACTGTAGAATTTCTGTAGAATTTTTGATTCTGCAGAAATCCGCACTTTCAGCACTAACAGGAAGCACTAAACGAAGTGATGACAGATGACTTTCAGATGACCGCACACAGAAGGAAAAGGTAGGCCATACAGACATAATGTACATTCAAAACTGTAGCTATATTTGTATATTCTTTAGATAATCTCTGTTCATTTAACCACAAGCTTATGCCATTGCTCTTAAAAGTCATATAAGTATAACTGTATTGTATTGTAAATGTATTAAAACTTTATTATTCATTCTTTTTTAGTTTCTTTTGAAAGGAACAAGTGAGCTTTCAACATAACCCACCGCAAAATCTATAGCCAAGGCTCACTGTCCGTGCCTTGGATCCAGAATACACACTTGACTGCAGCGTTTCCCACAGAAAAGTGGTTAAGCACGGCGGTGCTGCCGAAAAACTGAAAAAGTGAGGTGTGGGGGGTATGCAAGCGGAGATTCTGACCGTGGTTTTGCGAGGATTCATGTGGTTTGGAGGGACGTAGTCAAGGTGGGGGACACTAGACTGCTTGTCTGACAGGTGAATTTAATAATATGGGATACGATCTGATCCGTCTGGCTACTTGCAAGGAAAAAAAGGAAAAATATATATGACAAGGGACTGCGAATCATCATAGATTTTTGCAGAATTCACGAGCACAAGCACTAAACTCTGTTAATCTAAGGTGAGATAAATTTGATTTTATTTGTAAAAAATACGGGACCAGTGAGCTCCTGCGTTTCTCAGACGTCACTGAAAAAAAGAAATCTGATTGAACGATCACGTTTGGCTTAAAACGCAACAATGGTGGTGGGAATCAGTGGAGGTAGGAATCAGGGTGACATCGATTTGTATAAAAACTACACAGAGACATTGTGGATTTGTCGGGTAGGTGTAGTTCAGGTAACAACTAACTATTATCAATATACAATTACCATTAATTGCTGCAGCTCTAGTGGCAAATACAGAGCAGAGCAAGTGTCCAGCTCAACAGTTCACAAAGGGCAATGAGTTCATGATGTAATACGCAACATTGTCAATCTAATGCAAATACTATGCTATTAATTGTCGGGGTACTCCAAAAATACAGATTTGAGACTGGAATCAAATTTGTGATATTAATCAGATAGACATAACGTCGAGCCGGTTGTCAAATGTTTGGTCAATTTATTACAAAAAAGCAGCGACGAAAATAAGAGCCCTCTCCGTTGTTGACGCAGCCCGACTCTGAGCAAGAGATAAAGACTGATGGCGCTCATCAGGGCAATAATCGCATTAGGAGCTCCAGATCTCATCTCATGTTGGAATCCAAAATGAGCTCCATCTGGCATTCAAAATCAAATAAGTTTTTTATATTTAGGAAACAAATGAGACTGTCAGGCCCCCTGTGTTTCCCATGTGGACCATTTGTCCTGACAGCATTCTTACTTGTACTGTTGATGATCTTTTGTGCTTCTGGTTTTGGCCATGAAGCGCTCAGCGAGTTTCTCCAGGTTTCGTGAGTATTCCATCTCAATCTCGGCCTTTTTCCTGAAGAAGTCCTGGAGGTCCTGGAGCAGCTGGACTCGCATCTCCGTCTGCTGGTCCAGACATTTCTGCTGCTCCACCAACTGTGCCCGGATCTCTGAAAGGAGAAAAGAGGAAAACGCAATTAGAATTACTGTTATAAACCGAGCAATGGGTGTTCTACATGTATCTCTATGGTGGAATGTTGAGCAGTTACCACACATTAGGAAACACTGTCGAAAAAGTTTTAAGATTCAGTTCGAAAAAAACACAAAATGGATCAAAGCCTGTGATCAATACGAGCGTTCATTGTCGTGTTTGATTTTCAACAAAAACGGTGAGAGTGATTATTGTATTTTCCGGGCTATTGGGCGCACTCTTAAGCCTCCAACCCCATCAAAAAACCACTGCGCCCCGCAATCCAGAGCGGATTAATATACTAATAAATAAATATATATATATATATATAATATATATATATATATATATATATATATATATATATAAAATACGGATATAAATACTAAATAAATATTTAGTTTGGCCCACGACTTAGTCCCAGTTTTTAATTTTGGCCTTTATGAATTTGAGTTTGAGCTCCAAATTTGACCCTGTAACCATTAGAATCGTGAGATTTCATTTGAGTGGAGCTGAAGACTGTGGCTGACGTCACACTTACTTAGTCAAACTTTTTTAATACAGTCTATGATCAGCTCCCATTGGTCACTGCAGTTTTTGAATGTGATGTCAGTGGATTTATTTTTATTAAGTTGTTTTAGATTAATTTGGCTGTATTGCAATCCAAAATTATAACATAATGATCTCCGAGTGTCATAGATTCTAACTATACAGCAGACACAAGCACATTAGGTCTCCTTTAAAAACGTCCTCCATACTCTTCAAATTTATGGATCTGTTCCAGTGCTATCCATAAGTGTAAAGTGCTATAATAATAAGTGTTTACAGCGTACTGTGTTATATTATGGTTATGCTCATTTGTATTGATCCAGAGCAGGTCCCAGGTGTTTCATTAAAGCACATTTCCATGATGGATCTAATGTAATGAGATTCCCACATGACCCCACACGCTTTATGCGCCGGTGTCCTTAAGCGCCATTTTCCACAAGTAAAACAGCTGAAGAGGTCTTTCAGGGGGAAATCAAGCTCAACTTCCTTGATATAAATAACAGCAGGTTCCTTCTCCGAACACACAAACAGAGAGGACTTCCTGCGTGTGTCCTGTCAGAGCAGCACGGAGACCAGAATGGATTTCCTCTAATGGAAGGTGGCCTCGGCGTGATATCTTCAGCACAGAAAACTTAATGATTAATGAGGTGATTTAAACACACACACAAGTACACCCTCTCAGACAGAAAACACACTGTTCCACCTTCTGATGTGCTTGTGCTCCACTGTGTTTTTAAACTCCATGCACCTTCAGTAGGATTTGGATGCTTTCAGATCTACAATTGCCAATCTCTACTGAACACCCATCCATTTTCTTCTGCAGAAGTCTAAGCACAAACACACTTCCTCCAGCTCTTCCCCAAGGCGTTCCCTGGCCAGCCGAGAGACATAGTCCCTCCAGCATGTCCTGGGTCTTCCCCGGGGCCTCCTTTCCCAGGGACGCATTCAGGAGGCAACAGGAACAGATGCCTGAGCCACTATGTTTAAAATCTGAAATAGCCAATGTGAGCTCAGAGGTACGGCCACTATTATCAAAAAGAAAATCAGAACAAACATTATGATATTTTGTATATCTATAAAATGAGTGGAAGCTGTGGAACAACTGTACAGAAGACCTAAAATTGTGCACCACTCTGTTCTATTTTATAAAGAAGTTGAAATGTTTAACGCTGTGTAAATAAATGAATTATGATACTTAGTTTGTGCTGTAGTACTTTGTTGTACTGTTACTGATTTGTTTGTTTCCTCTTGCTGTATTTATGAAGATGAGCTGGTGTCAAGATGACGCTCTGGCAAAAGAATAAAGTGTAAAGACAGAATAAGAATAAGCTTCAGCCTGCACCTATTCAGTCTGTGTATGTTAAATATGACCGTCTGTGAAATGATATCAGAATAAACCTGTGACCGAAAACAATTAATCAGTCAAAAATCAATCAACCTCAGCTGGCTTGTCTTGATGTGGAGGAGCAGCGGCTCTACTCCGAGCTCCTGTGTGACTGAGCTCCTTACCCTGTCTCTAAGGGAGCGCCCAGCCACCCTGCGAAGGAAACTCATTTCAGCCACTAGTATCTGCGATCTCGTACTTTCTTTCATTACCCAAAGCTCATGGTCAAATATGTCACCATGTTTAACCAAATAACATTTTTTTATACATATATATTAAGTGGTTGTTGGTTTAACTCTTGGTTTAACTCTTAAACTCTTGACTTTGAACTTCAAATGAACAGTTTGAATTTAATTTCTATGTATAGTGAGTGTGCTGGTTTTATGTTTTTTGTGTGACTGTTGCTGTACTTTTCCCCGTCCTATAGATGATTTTGCATCAACCTGCCAAGGGACTGAAGATGGAAATTAGTCACGCTGACTATAATCTTTACATATTTACATTTTTAATGCTCATTAATATGTGCTGTCCATTTACAAATAAATAAATAATACATAAGAAAAGACCATAGGTGAGGGGTAAATTGAGAGCTTTGCCTTTCGATCCAATACAGCGACCGCATCTCTACTGACCAAAAGGTAGAAAAGCAGCTGTTAACATGAAAACTACGGCTTTGTGACATCACAAGGTGGAACTGAGCATTTTGAGCTTTGGAGATGTGGACAGACTAATAACAACGAATTACTCAAACATGTGCGACTGAAACAAAACACAACTTCAGGCCTGTTTTTGTTAAGATAAGAGTATTATAACATCAAGTAAAGCTCACAAGAGTCCATTTTGCACAATACAAGACCTTTAACTCATGGTTCTTTTCATTTCTCAACTGACGCTCAAATAAATAAATAAATAAACAGTGCACTTTCTCAGGCAATGCAGTAGTCAATCCCATTAAACAGGCTCAGTCACACGTCCAAACGTGTGTGTGTGATGTATGCGTCTAAATGGACCAATCAAATTAAACCAAATCAACTCGCCTCCATTTAACCACATTAAATCTTCTCACCTTCTAAACAAATGAGATGTATGTTAACTTTATTAGGCACTGTTAATAATATTTTGCAGTCTTGACACATCTGGCAAGCAGCAGTACATAAAACGAGCCGCACAAAACAAGGAAGACAACTTTGCAATTATAAATAAATGCACATCATTGTATTTCGACTCAGCCCAAACATTATTACAGTAAATTTTGACAGACCGGTGCTTGGCCGCTATTAGGAACGGTAAACATCGGTGCTACTGTCAGACTGGTGGACCGCCAAAAGTACTTTCAAGGAGATGTAGTCAGCTATAGACTCAATTGGCTTCCTGATAAATGCTAATGCGAGTACACCAGAGCCTAAAGTATGTCTAGTGGCTATAGATAACGCAAAGGAAACACAAAGAATATAACGGACCATTTAACACAATTATATCCACGACTGCTCACAGCGGGCAATTAATTAGTCTGAGATTTCAATATGGAGAAATCAAAGGTAAAAACGACTACGATAATAGCTGTAGAGGATGGGAAGTTGATCAATATTACACTGATTTAATAATGTACTTGAGTTATTCATGTAATATTTAGCAGGGGCGGTGCCAGAGAGGGGCTTGAGAGGGCACTAGCCTCCCCTAGAATGGCCAGTGCACCTCCATAGCTCCATTTTCATCCAATTTTTGCTCCATTTTCATCCAATTATGACTAAAAATGTTCAAATGGCAACCACAGAGTGTACAAAATGAGACTAGAATAAACAAAAGAATGCCATATTATGTTTTACACAAGAGAAAAATGAGCTTGTGAGAGTTTTTTTTCCATGTGTTTACATTTAGACTGGACAAAAATGGGTGAGTTATATCTCTCACAGTTCCAAAAAGCAGCACTAGAATGGAAATAAAACTAGGAAATGAAATAAATAACAAAATCGTGAGGCCAAAATTGGAAACTGAATCATGAAATGTACATTAAACATTAGGATTTATGTTGAAATCTCATATCCCGTCTCGTGGAAATTTTGTCTCATCCCATCCCTTGTACGCTCCAAGGCTAATGTTTTTTCACTCACAGAAAAGGCATAAGATAAGTAAATGAAAATGTTTTAGATTAGTTTTGCCACAATACAAAAATTTCGATACTTAAGGAGAGAGAGACTCGATGCTTGATACCGATTTTGATATCCAATTTATAATTTTAAAAGCTATATTGTAATTTTTAATACAAAATAACAGCACATGTATATTGTCGTCTTACATAGTTCTGATAAAATTCCAGAAAAAACTGTCCAGGAAAAGTATTTTTTATCCTTATTTTATAATTTTTTCCTCTTTTTTTTTCAGTATTGATACTTTAATGAGCATCTAGTTTCGACACTAGTTTTAGTATTGATTAGTATCTGAGTCTTGACAACCCTACTGCAAACTTAAGCTGACCAACTCCAAAATAGGGCTGGGGTATCATTAAGAAGTTCCCAATAAGATACATACCTCGATACACAGGCCACGATACTATACGTTTTTCGATTCAGTTCACTTTCGATTCAATATGATTCGATATGATATATTTAAAATCTATTCGATACGGTTCAATAAAAAACAAAGGCTAACACATGGCTGTGATACTAAAAGTCTTAATGAAAAGCACCTATTTTACTCAAAATAGTCAAAATGCCAAATGTGTTGCATAAACAAGTTTCTTTTCTCCAAACAAGCAACACAACTGTAGCTCTTTCACAAAATAATTTAGTAAAATATACAAAAAATTCTCTTGGTAATATATCGATATAGCAGCTCATGATATCAATACTGTATCATCAAATTAAACTAAACAATATATAGATATTTCAATATTTTTGCACACAGTTACTCCAGAGGTTTTCGTTGTGCTGTCCCTGTCTGGTGCCACGGTGGTTCAGTCAAGTGTCCTGCTCTGGTGCATTCCTGTGTCTGAGTCATGTGTGTGGTAAACAGTAACAGGCTGAGGGGATTTCATTATGGAGACTGTG